CTCATTCTATTTTGGGTTTTTCACTCTCCAACATGTTCTAAACTCTTTTTAAGCATGTTCTAAACTATTTTTCAGCATATTCTAAATTATTCCTATGTTCAAAAATATAATAATAATGTTGGAATGTTACTAATGTTTTTGATTTCTTAAAATTGCAGCAAAATGCAAAGCCAAAATGAAGAAAAATCAGAAGGAGGAGTTACTAATATACAAGAAGAAGAAATTACTTATGTAAGAAAAAGGTAACTAAACTAATGTTCTAAACTTTACCTATTATGTTCTAAATTTTTCCCTTAAGTTCTAAAGATTTGTACTAATGTTACTCTATTTAATGTTAGTTGTATTCTAATTATTTTTAATTGTTTTTAAAGGAAAGTTGAAAACGTTGAAGCGGAAGTAATTGATAGATCGGAATTTGAGAAGCATATTGAAAGTAAAAGTGTTGCTATAAGACATAGAAAACTTCCAACAAGGCTTCAACCACCTCGAAAATTGCAAAAAAAGGAAGGAAGAGAAAAAGATCAAGAAGAAGGAAAAGATCAAAAAGAAGAAGAGGGTAATAATGTTGAGGATGATGACAAGAATAATGATAGTAAAGATGATGGTGAGGATGATAATAAGGGTGATGTAAAGATGAAAGAGAAAGATGAAAAAGAGGAGATGGAAGATGATAGTGAGGAGGAACAAAAAATCAATAAAAAAAATCAAACTCAGGTAATAATACTCTTTAATCTTTACAATCTTTATTTTTATGTTCTAAAGTGCACGCTTATGTTCTAATTTTGCTTATCTATGTTCTAATTATGTTTATCTATTCATGGTGAGGATGTGAAGAAGAAGAAAAGAAAGATTGAAAAAGAAGAAGATGGTGAGGATGTCCAAGTAGTAGAAGCTAATGAGCAAGATAAACTAGTTAAGAGGCAACCTTATCAAAGAGTACCTCCTACTCAATTCATGAAGGATGTGTTGATAAATCTTTCGGAAAAACAAAAGCAAGCTATTCGGAACATTGGTTTTGGAGGCTTTTTGGAATTGGATTTACCAATCCATATTAATTCTACGTAAGTAGTAGAATGTTATGTTCTAAAATCATATTCTAAAATCATAAGTATTATCAATGTTATGTTCAAAATTATGATTTGTCATGTTTGAATTGCTATACACTAATGTTCTAAATTATAAGATTATGTTCTAAATTAGTTATGCTCTAAATTTTGTGCATATGTTCTAAATAATATGATTATGTTCGAAATTAGCTATGTTCTAAATTATGTGCATATGTTCTAAATTGTATGATTATGTTCTACATTATGTGCATATGTTCTAAATAATATGATTATGTTGTAAATTACTTATGTTTTAAAGTTACTTCTTGTATTCTAAAATTATGAACTCTCATGTTTGAATTGCTATACACTAATGTTCTAAATTAATTTTTTGTTATGTTCTAATGTATGTTTATTATGTTCTAAAATAGACTTTTTTTATTATATAATGTTCTAAATTATGTTCAAAAGTTTAAATATTATACTAAATGTTTTAATCTTCTATGTTCTAAAGATTGACTATTATATTCTAAATATAGCTGTATTGTGCTTTAAATCTTACATTTTTCATTATAATTCTAGGTTGACAGAAAACTTGGTTACGAATTTTGACACGGAGAGATGTTGTTTGATGTTACCAAAGAGAAAACAAGAAATCTTTTTGGAGGCAATTGATGTTCATTTGGCTTATGGGTTGCCATTGGGAGGCAAAAGGATTGAGCAACCAAATGATGAGTCAAATCTGAAATGGAGCAAGTTTCTAAAAGCTTGGAGAAGCAAGTTTGGCCTCAAAAAAGTATGATGATATAATGTGGTTATGTTTTAAATTTTATGTTCTAAAGTATGAATTTTATGTTATAAATTGTATGTTTTAAAGTGCTTTGCTTATGTTCTAAAGTGTTTTTTGCTTTAAAATAGATCTATTATCTCCATAGGTTTTAATTTATATGTTTTTTTTTACCTCTAAAAGGGAAGTCCAACCAACAAGAGATTGATTGACAGAATTCAAGAATTGAAGAAGGAAAAATCAGTTTCTGATGAATTTCTTTGGAACTTTGTGGTATGTGTTGTCAATTGTTGCATTCGATCAACAAACAACCCACAACTATACATTAAATTCTTGTATAGTTGTATGGATGTAAAGAAAATTGCTGAATTGGATTGGTGCACATTTGTGATTGAGCACTTGAAAGATTCTGTAAGTGTATGGAAGAAGGGAAATTCTTACTTTACAGGTCCTTTACCTTTTCTAATGGTAAGTTTTAAATTCTTACCATTATGTATATATATTATTCTTGTTATGTTGAAAATGTGTGAAAAATATTCTAATTAATTCTTAACATGTACTAAATAGGTATTCTATTTTGATCGTCTACAAAGAGGAGGGTTAGAAAAACCAAGAAAATGTCCACTAATTTCGGTGTGGACAAAGGAAAGGATTCAAGTGAGATATAAGTTTGAAAAAGATCATGGATTTGGATATGGAAAACTCTTGGAAAGAATGGAATCAATTGTGGTATGATATTTGTATATGTTTATGTTTAAACACTACACTTTATGTTGTTGTTTTCTAAATTTTATAATTTATATACTAGAAGGCACCAAAAGGAAAAAAGAAACAACCAAAACAAAAGGAAAAAGAGAAGAGAATGGAAAAATCATCAATAGGTTCTAGTTCTACAACTTCTCGAAATGACATGATGGTATGATTTAGTTTATATTGTAAATTATATTTTATGCTCCATTTAATCCTTTTCTGTTAAATTATCCATGTTATGTCCTTTATGTTCTAAAATATTTTTGTGTTCTAATGAAGGGCTTTTTGAGCAAATTTGGAGATTTGGCAAAAACACTTGCCTCGAATGTTAAAGAGATGTATGGCATGTTAGAACAAGCAAAAGATCTTTTTGTTGAGGAAGAAACAACAGGAAAAATGCAACATCTCATAGACAACATATGGTGCAAGTACACAACAAAGGTATTATAATTATGTTCTAAAGTATTTTCTGGTTGTGTTCTAAAGTATTTTCAGCTTATGTTCTAAAGTATAATAAATTTATATAAATATTATGCATATTATGTTCTAAATTATAATTTCTTATTTTATAGACATTCGTGAACCAAGAAGAAAAGAAAAGCCCTTCTATACTCAGCCAAGATCAACATGTCTTCGATGAACCGGCATTTATTGAAGAATTGGATATGGTTATGGATAAGGCATGGAAGAAATTCGAGGAAACAAGGTCACCAAAGTCACCGACAGTTGGTAATTTCACATGTACATGCTTAATTTCCAAATTATACTTATGTTCTATATTAGATGCTTATGTTTTAAAGTACTTTTTTATGTTCTAAAACATGCGCTTAAATCACATGCTTATGTTCTAAATTATATGATTATGTTCTAAATTAGTTATGTTCTAAATTAGTTATGTACTAAATTAGTTATGTTCTAATTGTTAAGCAGATTTGAGATCAAAGGAAGAGGAAAAAGATAAGAACAAAGAAGAGAGAAATGAAGAGAATAAAGACAAAAACTTGTTGATTCCCTCACCAGTAGTTGGTAATTTCACATTATTTTCAAATTCATTTTTTATGTACTAATATTTACTAGATATGTTCTAATATTACTTCTTATGCTCTAAATTTTTTCTGGTTATGCTTTAAAGTTAATTCTTAATTTTTTATATTCTAACTATTTCTAGGTTGTCTCCTAATTGTATATATTTCTTATGTTCTAAAGTTACTTTTTATTTTCTAATTATTTTTTGCTATTTGCTATAATACTTAATTTTTATGGTGTAATTGCTATGAAGATTTGGGATCAAAAGAAGAAGAAAAAGAGAAGTACAGAAAAGAGAGAAACGAGGAGGAAAAAATTGAGAAGAAAGAGAAAAGGAATGAGGAGTCACCAAAAACCCCAATTCCTCCAAAAAAGAAGCAACCTTTTGATATAACTCCTCCAAGTTTCAAGTTATTGACCCCCTCACCAGCAGTTGGTAGTTTTACATTATTTTCAAACTTTTTTCTTTTGAAATAATATTACTAGATTTGTTTTAAAATTACTTCTTATGTTATAAATTTTTTCTGTTATGTTCTAAAGTTATTTCTGATGTTCTAAATTTTTTCTAAATCAGATGCTTATGTTTTAAACTACTTTCTTATGTTCTAAATTATGTGCATATGCTCTAAATTATATGATTATGTGCTAAATTATGTGCATATGCTCTAATAATATGATTATGTTCTAAATTATGTGCATATGTTCTAAATAATATGATTATGTTCTAAATTAGTTATGCTCTAAATTATGTGCATATTTTCTAAATAATATGATTATGTTTGAAATTAGTTATGCTCTAAATTATGTGCATATGTTCTAAATTGTATGATTATGTTCTAAATTATGTGCATATGTTCTAAATAATATAATTATGTTGTAAATTAGTTATGTTCTAAAGTTACTTCTTGTGTTCTAAATTTTTCTGGTTATATTCTAGTTATTTCTAATGTTCTAAATTTTTTCCAACTATTTCTATGTTGTGTCCTTATTGTTTCTACTTATGGTTTGATGTCCCAGAAAATCAAGAAGATAATGAAGCAGAACTCACTTACGAAGAAGTGACAGCAAATGTTCTAAATTGTGCTTTTCTAAATCCAGATCATCCACCTACATTGGATGAAGAGGAGAAGCAAGAAGAGGAAAAAGAGGAGAAGAAAGAAGAGGAAAAAGAGGAGAAGAAAGAAGAAAAGGAGAAGAAGAAAGAAGAGGAAAAAGAAGAGAAGCAAGAGGAGAAGAAAGAAGAAAAGGGGAAGAAGAAAGAGGAGGAAAAAAAGGAGATCCAAGAGGAGAAGAGAGAAGAAAAGGGGAAGAAGAAAAAGGAGGAAAAAGAGGAGATCCAAGAGGAGAAGAGAGAAGAAAAGGGGAAGAAGAAAAAGGAGGAAAAAGAGGAGAATCAAGAGGAGAAGAAAGAAAATGAAGGAAGCAAGAATGAAGAGAAGAACAAAGAAGAAAAAAATGAGAACAAGAAAGGGTAATCATTTTGTAAACTTTAAAACAAATGTTGGTTATGGTTTAGTTAAATTTTAATTTAGAACTTGGTAATAATAAATTTTGGTTTGATTTGGTTATGGTTTTTGTTATCAATAAATTTTGGTTTGATTTAGTTATGGTTTTTGTTATCTATGTGATATTTTTTAATTGAATTAAGTAGGAAACAAGGAGAAGAAAAAGGAGAAGAAAAGACACGGAAAAAAAGAGGAAAGGATAAGCTTCCAATGTACTTGCGTTCACCTTTCATGGTTGAACATGAAAAACTTTTCAAGAATGTGGACAATAGAAAGGTAGCTGAGTATGCGTTTGCTCAAGGAGATAATAAGTAAGACTTTAAAACTTTAAAATTATATGCTTATGTTCTAAGCTATATGCTTATGTTCTAAGCTATATGCTTATGATCTAAGCTATAAATTATGTTCTAAACTTCATTCTTATGTTCTAAACTGCGTGTTCTAAGCTACGAGATTATGTTATAAAGTACATGTGTAAAACTATATGCTTATGTTCTAAAATAGGTACTTATGTTCTAAACTATATTCTTATGTTTTAAATTATGTGTTTATGTTCTAAACTACATGCTTATGTTCTAAACTACATGCTTATGTTCTGATTTTATTGTTCTGATTTTAGGGAGCTTTTGTATGCTGATAACATGGGGACAACGATTACGAGAGATGAGATTCATAGTCTCATAGAAGATAAGCACATGTTGAACAATGTTGTGGATGCTTATGTTTGCCTATTGAATTTTGAAAATAAAAGACGTGGTGTAGACAAGAAGAGTATATTCTTTTTCACTACTGAATGCTATGTATGTTTTTGAACTTAAAATTATAACTATGTTCTAAGAGTAGATTCTTTTTGTTTCTCATATAGATTATACTATGCACCTATGTTCTAATTACTTATGTTTTAATTTCTTTTTCTTTTTCAGCTCATACGTTGTACAGAAAAATACTTCAAATCAAATGAAAGGCAAGATGATAGAATGAAGGCTTTGTTTGATAGAATGCAACAAGAAATGACAACGACCGAAGTAACAAGCTTCAAAAGCATTCAATTGGTAATTTGGTATCTTATTATGTTGTACTTTTTTCTTATTATATGTTCTAATTATTGGTTTTGTTTATGTTCTAATTATTTTTATCTATGTTTTAAAGTATCTACTTATGTTCTAAACTACTTATTTATCTTCTAAACTACTTACTTATGTTCTAAACTACATGTTATAAAAATTATATGCTTGTGTTCTAATCTATATGCTTATGTTCTAAAATGCATGCTTATGTTCTAATTTTGCTTATCTATGTTCTAATTCTGTTTATCTATTAGGTTTTCTTCCCGGTCGTTTTACCAGATCACTACTATTTGCTGTGTGTCAACTTTGTGGAAGGAACATTTGATTTGATTGACAACAGATTTCTTCCACCAAGTATTCCTTTTCACAATAAATATAGAAATTACCATAGATTAATGGTAAGACATCAAGTTTACATTTTTTTAATTATACTTTTGTTCTAACTTTTGCCTTATATGTTCTACAGTTTTTCTTTATGTTCTAAAGTTTACCTTATATGTTCTAAAGTTTATCCAATTTTTCAGTTGAATGCATTTGCTGATTTCGTTCACTCAATTGACTCAAATATAAAGAGTGACTTTGTATCCTCCTTCAAAACAAGAAACTTGAGTATGTCATGGAAGAGCAATAAGAACAAACATGATTGTGGAGTGTTCCTGTTGAAGCACATGGAAACATATGAAGGAGAATCTGTAAAACAATGGAATTCGGGACTAGAATTAGACAATGTAAGTTTAAAACATAAGATACATGTTTTAAATTAGTTTCGTTTATGGTTTTGGTGTTATGGTTTTAGTGTTGTGGTTTGGTTTGGTTATTGTTTAGATATATTATGGTTTATTATATTTATTTATACTTATATGCTAAATTATATTCATGTTCTAAATTTTATGCTTATGTTCTAAAGTATTTCTGTTTATGTTCTAAAAGTTACTCTTTTTTTTTTTTTTGCAGTTTGACCAAATGTTTATGTTTATGTTCTAAAAGTTACTCTTTTTTTTTTTTTTTTTTTTTGCAGTTTGACCAAATGAAAAAATTAAGAGTGGAGTATTGTGGGAAGATAATAACAGCAGAAGTAAATGAAGAACGGAACAAAGTGATTAGGAGATCAAAAAAGTGGTCAAAGGAGAACAAAATGGATATATGATTGTTAAGATCTTAAGTTTATATTTGTAGAGAGATATTTGCAAAGAATATAACAGTAATTTTTTATGTTCTATGTATTTACCTGTTACAAGAAATATATTGTTGAATCATATTAAATGCTAAAATTTTAATATAAAATATATCATATAAACTTATATGCTAAATTATATTCATGTTCTAAATTATATGGGTATGTTCTAAAGTATTTTTGATTATGTTTTAATAATTATATGCTTATAAAGTTAGGATATTAGAATATATTATTATATATTAATTTTGACTTAAAACTTAAAGTGTAGAACATTAGAACATAAGAAAATTAAAAAAAAGTAACAAGAAATGACAACAGCCAAAGTAACAAGATTCCAAAGCATTCAATTGGTAACTTGATTCTAATTATATCTTATTATGTTGTACTTTTTTCTTATTACATGTCCAAATTATTGATTTTGCTAATCTTCTAATTATTTTTATCTATGTTCTAAAGTATTTGCTTATGTTCTAAACTGGCTGCTTCTAATCCATTACTTTTGCTTTATTTTTCCTTTTGAATACAATGCATACACTCTTTAGTGCATATCTAAGAAGGCATATGTAAATCAATGTTAAGAAACTTGAATAAATAAAAGTTGATTAAAGCAAGATTCAACTAAATGTTGTTTAATAAAGGTATCTAAAATGCTTGTACTATCATTACTCGTAGTTCAAATTGACTTAATAAAACAACTTATAATTACGAAAAGGGGGGAAGATGAAAAGACAGGAGATGTTATAAAACATTATAATCAACTTTAATTAACATAAAAATTGATAAGAAAAACACTAGTAGAGATACTCTGAATAATAATTGGACAAAAAAGAAATAAAAATATATTGTTTCTAAAAGTAAATAAATTGAGTTCTTATATTTTAAGAATTACATGAATAATATTTTACGTGCTAGTAAATGAGATATTGTTTCTAAATATATAACATCTCATGCAACTGGATTAATAGTATATTCACCAACCTGTAAAGAAAAAAAAATAAAACAATATTAGAACATAAGCACATAATTTAGCATTAAAAAATGTTATAACATGCCATTTCTATTAGTTTAGAACACATGATATTATATAGAGTAAAAACTTTAGAACATTTAAAGAAACCTTTAAAACATATAAAGAAAACTTTAGAACATATAAAGAAAATATTTTGAACATAAAGAGAAAAGTTAAAATATAAAGGAAAACTTTAGAACAAAATGAATAACTTTATATTCTAAACATTAGAGCATATTAAATTACACTAAAACAGAAAGAATAAACATTAGAACATAGAGAAAACACTTTAGAACATAGAAAAGTAACTTTAGAACAAAGAGAAAACACTTTAGAACATATTGAATTACTTTAGAACATATATGAATAACTTTATGTTCTAAACTTGCTTAAAACATAATTACTTTAGAACAAAATAAATATAAGAAAATTAAAAATAAAGTTTACTTACAATATCACTTGACTTTTCCAGGGCAATTACGACTATCATGATAACCAAGCTCCCCACATGCTCTACATAATCTCTTCTTCTTTTGACTTTGTTCAATAGACTTTTCTCTGTCACTCTTCATTCTTTTGTCACTATTTGGAACATGAACCTCATTTGGAACATGGACATCATTTGGAACATGGACATCATTTGGAACATTTACCTGATTTGGAACATGAACCTGATTTGGAACATGGACATCATTTGGAACATTGACCTGATTTGGAACATGAACCCCCGTGCCTTTGTTCTTCGAAATTTTAGGAGGTTTGATTAAAACATTAGAAGGTAGACTAGCTCCAATAAGCATTTCAATGTCTTTAACTTTGCTCGAAAGATTGTTGCTTCCATTTGTTTTCTTCTGTTCCAAATCTACCCTCATGGCTCGAAGTTTTTTGACAAGATCACTAAGATCATCTTCATTGTTTTGCACTAAACTCACACAAGCATGAATTTCAGACCACAAATCATTTAATAACATTTTCTTATCTACTGCATTAATACATTCCTCCAACACATTACCCTCTAAATCAAAAATGGGCTTCTTATAAGCCATTGTACACCATCTATTTAGAATGTAGGCCTTGGGAATTTTTTCTAACATCCTTGCCTTCCACACCCAAATCATATGCCTACAAGGCACACCATCACGTTCAATTTTTTTACAAAAACACTTGGTATCAAAGGTAGTTGGATCAAAAACAACATCAAAAGTCCTCCTTCTAGTTCCTTCCCTCAAATTGAAAATGTAAAGCTCATTGTCCTTCTTCATCTCCTCAACACCACAATTAAAACATCCAATTTCAAGCTCATATTGAAATTCATAGAAAATTGTTGTTGTAAACAATTCAGAAGCATCTTTCTCTAAAGGAATTGGAGTCTTACACTCCGGACGCTTATTCTTCGAATCATTATCCATTTTATTTTGAGTGTGCCTTTGAGCATCCAATGCACATTCAAACCTATAGAAAATAGAAATTAACTTTAAAACATAGAAGATAATTGTAGAACATAGAGTGAATTACATTAGAACATATAAATATACATGACATGTTTATTATGATCTAAATATTATTAAAACATAAAGAGAAAAAGAAAACATAAAAGAGAATTATAAAATAAATAGTAAAACTATAAAGCATAAAAAGAAAACTTTAGAGCATACAAGGAAAACTTTAGAACATAAAGAGTAACTTTAGAACATATATAGACAATTACTTATTACCTCATGTAGAACTCAATCAAAGTGAGATGGGGATTTGTGAACATAGTGAAAAAATTATTTTCACTTTCTGATCTAGATGTGGTTCTCATAATGCCACCCAAAAATAAGTCTCTGAAATACGCTGGAATCCACATATCACGTATGTTGTACATGTATGCCAACCATTCATGATCGTTCAAATGGAATTCTGAAATAACTTTGTTCCACTTTTCTTCAAATTCTGCCGGCTCAATCTCTAAATGCCAAACACATGAACACAGTTTTTTCAAGAAATCAGTGTCTTGGGCAATCGCCCGACCTACTTTTTCAGGCACCTTTTTCATAATATGCCACATACAAAACCTATGTTCTGTAGTTTGAAAAACATTACGAACAGCAACTTTCATTGCAGGGTCTTGATCGGTAATCAAACACACAGGCTCGTTATTTCCCATTGCTTTAAGAAAAGTTTTGAAAACCCATTCAAAAGATGATATATCCTCATGAGCTACAAAAGAAGCCGCAAAAGTAACACATTTTTTATGATGATCAACTCCAGTAAATGGACCAAAGATCATATTATATCTGTAACATACACAAATTATTTATGCAGAAAATAGAGGTAAACTTTAGAACATAGAGGTAAATTGTAGAACATAGAGGTATACTTTAGAACATTAAGGATAAACTTTAGAGGATAGTAATTTAATTTAATTATTAAACGTGGCAGTAATATAGTTGTTTTAAAACATAATGAATTACTCTAAAACATAAACACTAAACTAAAAATATACAATGTAGCTTTAAAAACTTATAAGTAAACTTTAGAACATATAGACATAATGTTTAGAACATGATGGATATTAGTTTATAACACAAAGAATAAAGTGTAAAACACAAAAGCATAATGTTTAAAGCATAAAAGCATGATGGATATATTTTAAAGCATAAGGTAGAACATTAGCAATATATGTTTAGAACATAAGGCATACATAGTTTAGAACATAAAGAATATTTGTTTAGAACATCAAAACATGATGGATATTTGTTTAGGAACACAAGGCATGATATTTAGAATATAAGAACATATGTTTAAAAAATTAATATGTAAAAGTAAAATATTAATTACATTATGAAAGAAATTTATATTTAAAACATCACCTGTTTGTTTTGAATGTGGTATCAAAAGAAACCATATCACCAAAAAGTGCATAATTTTTTCGACAGATTGGATCAGCCCATAAAGCTCTACAAAGTCTATCTTCTTCATCAACATCATAGGAAAAAAAAATGCACTCCAGAGCAATTTCTTATTTTGAAAATTATCCACAAACATTTGGGCATCTGATCCATCAATAAAAGCCTTCAAATCTCTATAAAAATTTTTGAAATCTTGTTTAGATGCACCAACATTATCATGTGATCCAGCTAATTCTTTCATCATAGTATAAGACCTCACAGGACCAACATTTACCTGTTAGAAAAAAAAAAAATATTACTAAGATTAAGAATTAACTTTAGAACATAGTAAATCAAAACAAAAAAAAAACATTATTTAGTACATAAAAATAAATCACCTTTGAATTATCAACAATCAACTTTTTATGCATAATATGCATTTTTCTATTATCCTTCTGAAATTTTGCACAACTTGGAGTATATAAAGGATGATTATGTTCTTCTTTGAAATGAGTTACAACATACTTTCCAGCATCATATCTCATACATATGTGAGCATTGCATCCTACACGAGTGACTAAACGTTTCCTAGTAATACGAACTTTTCCTTCTTCATAAACTGTTTGTTGAGCAATAGGTTTTCTTATTGCCCTAAAACCTTCCTTATTGCAAACTCCATATTGAAAAGCAATTATATCTTTGTTATTCTTCTTCCTTTTAGTAGTAGATTTCCTAGAAGTAAACCCAGCGGCATTTGCATATGCTTTATAAAAACTAAGACCCTCTTCAGGATCTTTAAATATCATCCCCAAACTGGGTTTTAACTCCTCGGGAACACTTGGAATCCATTCCTTAGTGGTACCACCAGGGCTAAATGATCCAACAACCTCTAGAGTACGATAAATATCACCAACTGCATTAGAACATGAAAGTAAACATTAGAACATAAAAATAAACTTTATAATATAAAGAGAAAGATACATAAAAAACTTTAGAACATACAGAGAAAACTTTAGAACATCAAAGATAAACTTTAGAACATCAAGGATAAACTTTAGAACATATAAAATCAGGGACATACTTATAACATAGTGAATTACTTTATAACATACATAATAAAATTTACAATAAAGTGAAAAAATTAAACTAGAAGGTTAACTTTAGAACATACAATGAAAGTAAACATTAGAACATAAAAAGTAAAATTTAAAATTAGAAGGTAAACTTTAGAACATAGAATGAAAGTTTTAGAATATAAAGAGAGAGATATATAGAAAACTTTAGAACATACAGAGAAAACTTCAGAACATTACAGATAAATGTTAGAACATAGTAAAGAAACTTTAGAACATGTAAGTAAATTGAAATTAAAACATTGAAAACAATAAAATTACCTGAATGAGTAACACAGGAAGAAGGATAATTAGGTTGCACACCATCTAAATCCATCAATATGCATAAACCTATTTTGAAAAACACAAATTGTAGCAAAAAAGCAACCAGAAATTAAAATCCATTAAAAATCAAAAATCTGGAAAACAAAATAGGATAAAATCGAAAACGATGTTGAAAAACTCAAGCAAAGGAAAAAAACAGAAAAATCTGGAAATAAAAAATCTGGAAATAAGCAAAGGAAATAAAATCTAGAAATAAAATTTGGAAAAATCTGGAAATTGAAGAAGAAAAAGAAAACTAGAAAACGAAATTGATGAAATTAATGAAAAAACTCAAACAATGCTCTACCCGTTGAGCTAGTAGGCTAATGTATATAAAACACTTGAACTAGAGGAAAAACTACTAACAACTATATGAGATAATCACAAAAGTAATTTTTTTTTGTTTAATCATATCCTTTTGCACTTCTAAACACTATCTTTAGCATCGTTTATTGTAATTTGATGATCGATTACTTGCATTAAGGTGGGTTCATTATATTGGCTATATAATCAATCTATCATTAGTAGTCCTTTAAAGCAAAAGTTATCCCAAGTTAAGACTAGTGCTAATTAAACAAGCTTTGACAAACATGCTAAGATTGTCTACTTTAGAACACAATGAATTACTTTAGAACATAAAGAGTAAACTTAATATATGCTAAATAAAAGTTTAGAACATGCTAAGATAGTTAAATAATAGTTTAGAATATAATGAATTACTTTAGAACACAGTGAATTACTTTAGAACACAAAGAGTAAACTTTATAACATAGATGGAAAATTTTAGAACATAGAAGGAAAACTTTAGAACATCTTGAATTATTTTAGAACATAATGAATTACTTTATGTTCTAAATTTCCTTATAACATAGTGAATTATGTTCTAAATTTGATTTGCTTAGAACGTAGTAAATTACTTTATGTTCTAAATTTGTTTAGAACATAGCTATGTTCTAAATTTGCTTTTGCTTAGAACATAGTGAACTATATAAAATCTAGAAATAATAAAATTAAAAAAAAAAAAGGAAAAGGAAAAACCACCACCACCCTTTTCCTCTTCCCAGCCACCAAATTCGCCGCCGTCGCTACCCTAGCCGCCACCTAACCTTTCTCTACCCAGCCAACCCTAACCTCGCCGGTGAACAGATCCCCTGTGCCGGGGACCCACCCAGCCTCCCCACCCCCCTTTTTCCTTTTTCCTTTTTCCTTTTGAGAAAAAATTAACGCATCAAAATCGCAGCATACACAAATCGCAAAAAGCTGGAAAATTTTGAGAAAAAATCGCAGCAAATAAAACAGCATCGAAATCGCAAAAGAAAACCGAACAAAAAAAATCAAAATAAGAACAAACAATTCGAACAATCAAACAATCGAATTGATAAATAATCGAGCAAAATAAATATACATCGAATAGAAAATCGCCAAAAACAAAATCGAATAGAAAATTCGCAAAAAATCGCAAAAATATTGACGAAAACATGAATTAATCAGTAAAAATCGAACATAAATCGCAGCAAAAATTGAGAAATAAACGCATCAAAATCGCAGCATACAAATCGCAAAAATCAGGGAAATATTTGAGAAAAAATCGCATAAAAACGCAACAAAATCACATCAAATTGCAGCAAAAAATCGCATCAAAATCGCATAAAATTCGTAGCAAAATCGCAGCAAAATATTTGCTAAACAATATTGAGAACAATTACATAGAAAATGCTCAAAATAATCGCATGAAATTAATCGCATCAAAATTGCATGAAAAATCATTAAATTTAAAACAAATCTGATTATAAAATTAATAAACTTACAATAATTAATCCAAAATCTGTGAAAATATCGTGATGAATTTGATGAACTTTCACCAATCTGTTGAACTGAGGAGAGGGAGAAAGCTGAGAATTTTAGAGAGAGAAAGCTGAGAGTTGAGAAACATAAAATAACTAGATGAAGGAAGAGGAAAAAGAATTTGAATAAACTCCTTCAAATTACAAAAATGTCATTACTAATCATTCATTTTGAGCGGTCAGATCAAGCTAATTCCACGGTCCAGATTAGTTCTTATATATAATGGGTTCTTATATAGAGGAGGGTTCTTATATGAGCCTTCCTATATATATATATATATATATAATAAAAAAAAAATATATATATATATATATACAGCTAACACAGAATTATTGATCGATTCTTCTAGATTAGTGGAGGTGACTAGCTGAGGCATCTTGATCGGTAATACTTGTATACTACTAAAGTAAGAAAACTTGTAATATACTCACTAGTCACTATTAATCAGGACAATTAATAAGTGCACATTATTAGGGTTCTTTGGCATAGCATATTCCCCCTCCCCCCTTCCCCACCCCTAATTTTTTATAGGTTTTTTTTTTCTTTTTTTTTTTTGGCGTTCCACCCGCTTCAGCCTTTGGGCTAATTCGGATTCGAGGATCAGTTATGGGTGGTTAGGTTTCAGTCCCTCCCAATTGTTGTAGTGAGGGATCGAACACGCAGTTTTTTCTACCAATTAAGTGTAGTCTCAATTACCACTACACCAACAGGCAAAAACCAACCCTTTTCATAATAAATTCAATCTATATATATTTGTTATAATTTTTAAAATATTTGGTGATCAATAGACCCCCAAATTAGGTAATGAAATCTTATATTGAAATGCCCTACTATTAGGGTAGTCTAGTACAATCTATCTACCCTTAACCCCTCCCTACGCACCCCTCCTCCTTAAAGCATAAACCGCTTTTGCCTAGGTTCGAACCCAAGACAACCTTTCCTAAGGAAAGTGGAGTACATACCAATTGAGCTAAGCTCTTTGATATATATACGTTAAATTTAAAATGTAACAAATGCATGTGTATAGAAATTTTATACAGCCAGTACATCGTACATAATAATATATATATGATTGATCGACGCGTTAGATAAATTAACTAAAAGTAGAAATATTGAATTAAAATGAACATTAATTACACCGATCGACGCGTGATTTTGGCATGCATGCATTGCTAAATTAATACGAAGTACTACTTTAGGAAATATTTTAAATGCTTATCTAACACTCCGGAGGCGTTCGTTAGCCAGATCCAAAATAAATTAACTATTAAATAAGTGGATGCTTACTACCTTTTTTTTTTTTTTTTTGTTTTTGTTGTGAGGAATATTACCTCACTTTTTAATTTTTATATCATGGGAGTTGTGGTATTTAAGTATTATTAGGATTAAATTTTGCGCACATTATTAAATATTCTACTTTTGTGATTCTCTCTACATTAAAAACTCTCATATAATTTTCCTAAAAAAAAAAAAAAAAACTCATATAATAATATAGTTGTTTGGGTCCAAATTACTTCAATTAGGTCGGTCGGTCCACAAATGATTCAATTATAAAGCCCAAAAGAAGGTTCAACTCTCCTAATATATGCTAAGTCAGTCAAAGGCCCGGTCAACATGGCAAGCCCAATTTATCCATTTGAGTAAGGTATAAAAACCTTGACTTTTCTCTCTCTCAATTCATTCACTTAAGCCTCAAGCATTAACTCTCTTGCATAGTTTTCTCTTTTTAAACACCGTATCGACTTCGGCATCGAAGGGGCCTTCCTCGGCACTACCCCGGGGCCAGTTTACGTGTGTTTGCTGTGCAGGAAACCCTCATCTCAGTCATTACTTG